TAACCCTTTATTGGATATGTCATTTGCAGATATCTTCTCCCATTCAGCTGGTTGCCTTTTAATTTTGTTTGTTGTTTTCTTCTCTGTGCAGTAGCTTTTTATTTTGAAAATAGTTTATTTTTAGGGGGGCACCTGGGTGGCTCAGTGGGTTAAACCTCTGCCTTCGGCTCAGGTCATGATCTCAGGGTCCTGGGATCGAGCCCCACATCGGGCTCTCTGCTCGGCAGGGAGCCTGCTTCCCTTTCGCTCTCTGCCTGCCGCTCTGCCTACTTGCGATCTCTCTCTGTCAAATAAATAAATAAAATCTTAAAAAAAAAAACAAAAACAAAAAAAAAAACCCTTCGAAGGACAGTAAGGCAGGCGAGACTTGGGTCTAACTCGTGGTTTGCAGTTCGGGCCACACGTGAGCTTCACAGGAGCACTGCAAGAAAAGCCGTGTGTGGCAGAGCCTGCCTGGACTGTTCGGCCTTGCCGGAGCTTCTGGGGGCCTGGCCGGGGCCAGGGATCACTGGTTAGGTCCCAGGTGCAGCAGTGCCCACGGCCAGTTGTGCTCAAGCCCCTCCTGGGATTCATGGTTTTCAGGAAAAATGAGGAACACGGGGGGCATGTGATCACCACTGCGGAGACTGGCAGAGCCCCTATGCTCAGAAGGACGACCACAGGTGAAGGCTGCCCGTCTGCCCCATACCAGGCTGGGACGGGCCCCGTGAGTGACCAGAGGCTAGAACGATGCCACACCCGGCAGGTGAAACACCTGTTCCCTCCACTGGCCTTTATCCCCCCTCTCCCCTAACATTTCCACGCAAGGTCTTGGCAATCCCTCCTCCTCCAGGAAGCCTTCCTTTCTTCCTTGATGCCCACCCTGAGCGCCCTGTCTGGACCGCAGCTCTCCGGGCCCATGGGGTCCATCTCCCCGGCGCCTGGCCCAGAGGAAATGCTGGGCTGAAGATCTGTGCCCTGGCCACACAAGGACCACATAGGGTGGGCTGTCTGGACAACAGGAGCGCACAGTGCTCAGCAGATAGGGTTTCCTCCTTGGGACGGTGGTTCCATCTCTCCCCCACCCTTGGGGAGTCAGAGGCCCAGCCTCCGGGAGTGCTCCAGGGCGCACTGCTCTTCTCAGAAGATTTAAGCAAACTGCTCCAGCCGTGCTGGGGCAGTGGGAAGCAAGGAGGCGAGGGCCACTTGGGGGACCTGCTCCGGAAGGGATGTGGCCCTGTGACCTGCACCTTGTCACCCCCCCTAGACCCGGGCCAGCCTCTTCTCCCCTGGGGCCTCTGCTTCCACCCTTTATGCGATGGAGCTGCTCTAGCTCAGACTTTCTGTCTATCATGATTATCTGCAAGGACTCATGGAAACTCGGGTCTGCTGGCTGGTGGCCCTCGGAAACCCCGACTTCCCCTGGCTTCGACCCCAGAGCCGTTGGCTGCAGGCCATCAAGCCTGAGCAGGTGCCGGGAGCGGGCCAGCCATGCCGTAGAAGCATAGCACCTGCCGTGCGGGAGGGAGGTGAGCAGGAGATGAGCAACGTCAAAGCCATGTGGAGGTGGGAGCTTCTGCAGCCTTGGGCAGAGCACAGGGGAGGGAGGCCACGCCAGATGGGAGTGGGGATGGGGACTGGGGTCCAGCTGGCCTGGGGGCCAGGCCCAGTGAGAAGGGTGGCCCTGGTTAGTGAAGAGGGAGCCCATACAGCTGCGAACCATGCAGTGGGCCCATGGGCACCAGGCCTCTGCTCCCGGCCAGCGCCGCCCAACAGGCCCCTCTGTGTGGACACAGACCCTTCACATGCACCGGCTCAACAACCACCAGCCACCTGGACACCCGCTACGCCCCATGTGGGAACAGAAAACTGAATGTTCGCTTCACTTCTGAGCCTTAACTTCCATTTTCAACGTCAATGGCCATGTGGGGCCAGCGCTCCTGCCCAGGACGGCTCTGCTTGGGGTGGCGAGGCCTGCCCAGGCCTTGAGGGGCAGGATGCCAGGTCAGGAGGCGTGCTCCCACCGAGACCTAAGTCAGGGCCCTGTTCCCAGGGAGGGGATAGGGAAGGAGCCACGAGAACTGGGGTGGACCGACAGGGTGGCCTGCGGGAGGTGAGGGAGACAGCAAGGTTAAAGGTTAGAAGTGCCAAACCCAAAAGTAACCACAACAGTGAATGTCTAAGGGCACCATGGCAGGTGCTGTCCTGTGGAAAATATGCCTCACTGAGCCCTCAGGAAACTCCAAGGGCAGATTACTTGTGTTATCCCCCTTTCATGTATGGGGAAACTGAGTCATGGCACATGGGAAGACTTCCCAAGGTCACTGAGCTGGGAGAAGGGGAGACGAAGGAGCCTGTGTTCCTGGCCATGACCCTGCCTCCAGCACCTCCAGCCAGGGTCCCTGGAACTGGGAGGGGCCTGTGGATTTGGGGGCAGGGTGGGCAGGGAGCCGGCCAGGGTCTGGGCAGTCATGCCCCAGCCTCACTGCGGCAGGCAGGCCGTGGGCAACTGCCGTCACAGACAGGGCCATGAACCGCACACAGAGGACAGATCCAGCAACACGGTCAACCACAAAGGAGTCAAGTTCAGCAAATTTACCGGCGAGGTGAGGTCCCATAAGGAAAGACTACTTCCTGGAAAGCTGTGGGGCACGGCATTAGGAAAGCTCTTTAATGGTGGGGGAAGGGCAGACCCTCCTGTGATGAGATGAGCAGGGGACCGGGACCATGAGGACAGTCAGCTGTCACCTACGTGGTACTAAATGACAAGAGACAGAAATTCAGGCGTCCTCACTGCTCAGGCCCTTGACGCTGAGAGTCACAGAGACTCAGATGTAACTTCAGATCAGACCCCGAGACCCCTGCACTCACGACCTGTTTTCTGAAAGTTAAGGAGATGTCTGGTGAGGCTTACGCTCCCCGACAAGCTGTAGACCCCTCAACTCTGAAGAGGATGGTGACCCCAGTGCTAGCACCAGGGAACCAGACAGACACATGGACACCAAGGAACACTAATGGAAGATGGAGCTCGTCATCTGCAGACACACCTGAGGGCAGGATATGGCCCCTCGAGTCCAGACCGGCCCCATGACTCTCAACAAGGTGACCAGAACGGGCCCTGTGTGCCCACAGGTTGGGACCTGGTGATGCACTTATTAGCACCTGCATTTTCCACCCAAGTATCAGGGAGTGTGAAGGGGGCGGCTCTGAGAGTCTTTTCAATTCTAATTCTGAATAAATTATCAGATTTCCAGGAAGCAAAGCATGAAGGGCCCCCCCACCCCTGCTCACCTGTGCTGAGGGGCGTCCATGTGGACCCCGTGCTCACCTGTGATGAGGGGTGTCTGTGCAGCCCGGGCCCCCATGCTCACCTGTGACGAGGGGTGTCTGCACAGCCCGGGCTCCCATGCTCACCTGTGATGAGGGGCGTCTGCACAGCCCAGGCCCCCCTGTTCACCTGTGACGAGGGGCATCTGCATGGCCTGGGCACCCCTGCTCACCTGTGACGAGGGGCGTCTGCACAGCCCGGGACCCCGTGCTCACCTGTGACGAGGGGCGTCTGCGTGGGTGGCTGCTCCAGCAGGACCATGTGTTGTAGGAGGGGGTTGTGTGTGGCCCCGCCGTCGCGCTCCAGGGGTGCCGTGCTCAGGTAGGGGGTGAGGTGGGTGCCAGGGAAGAGGGAGATCCGCTGCTGGAGGGCTGGGAGAGCAAGTCGCTCGGCTTCCTGCTGGCCGGCCGCCCCCTGGAGAGGCACAAGCATGATGCCCAGGCCAAGGCCCTGGGACAGCGGCCCCACACCGCGCACACCTGCGGACGCCTACTCACAGCGGACGGGCCGGTGGCAGGCAGTCCCAGAGTGATGTTGGGCAAGGACGGTGACGTGTAGAGGGGGAGTGGGGCCACGGAGCCTTCTCGAGTCACGAGTCTGTGCGCCAAGCCGGTCTGGAGACAGAACACATGAAGGCCGTTACATGCGGTCTGTCCCCAGTAAGCGTGGGCAGCATATGCCACAGGAAATCACAACAGAAAACACGTCGGGGCAGGCCCTGCTGAACTCCCAGATACTGCAGTACACACGTACTTACCAGGTTCTAGCATGCAGGCGGGCATGACATTTTAAAGCAGGCCACAAACGTAGATTCACAGCCCATTAGACTCCTGTTTTTATCCATACTGCTAATTCATCATAAACTATCAAGAAAACCTAAGATAGTGTATTTTAAATTATATCCTTGGTTGGGAAGGTCTCTTCAAACACAATGTCAGAGACAGAAACCAAAAAAAAAAAAAAAAAAAAATTGATTAAAAATATCCCTCACAAAAAAGGCAAGTAACAGTCGCTGTAATGCTGGCCACACATCGGGCAGAGAAAGCTCATATGTAAAGAACTCACAGATCAAATAATAATGAACAATGAGAAAATCGCACGGAAAGGCAAATGACAAAGAGCTGATATTAAGGGAAAAGAAGCTCATGAAAAAATACTCAACATCATTAGTGATCTAAAACATATTTAAAACCTTATTAAGCCAGCAAAGATATGACAACTGAGAATACTCTTTTGGCCCCAAGGAACAGAAGGGCATTGATCAGTGCGTTATAAGTTGGCGCACTCTTTCTGTAGGAAAACTTGGCAATCCATGTCAAAAGCCTTAAAAATGTATCTAAGTTTCGATCCTGAAACTCCACTCTTAGGATGGACTCCTACGAAATGATGCTGGTCCAGGGATGGCCCCAGGAAGGTATGGCTGAGGCGCACAGAGGCAGAGGGCTGAGTGTCCTGCAAAGCGTGCAAGGCTGAACAGACGAAGGTACACAGGGAAACACCTCCCCGACTGGCTGGCATCTCAATGACGTCTTGTTAAGTTAGAAAAACAAGTTGTAGAATTGTATACTTTCAAAAGCAGACAGACAGGGAGGACCAGGACAGAAAGACAGTCAGGAAAAGGTTAGCAGGAGCATTCACCAAGGATCTGAATTATTGCATCCTCTTTTTCCTTTTAGAATGATATTCTTTGCTACAAAGGACGCTGTTTTATTCACCCCAACATCCTCCCAGAGCAGAGTCAATGTGCTGAGCTGAGGGGCAGCGAGAACAAGTGCATGGTGTTGCCACAGGCTGGCTGGGAGGGTTTGCAGACGGAGTCTGCGTCACGGAAAACGGACTGATGCACAGCTGACCAGTCTTCTCTTAGTTCCCCTCGTACTGTGGTGTGTCACTGAAGAGGAGACGCACACTGGTGCCTTCGAATTTCATATCCAAGAAAAAATTATGAGCTAAAAGTTATCACCAAGTTGCTGTAGACAGCAGGGGTGGACTGACCGCTGGCCTGGCTTGCAAGCAGCTTCTTCATCCCATCGGGGGTTGGAGCGAGCTGGGGTTCCCCTCGGAGATGCTGTAGGCCTGGTCCCAGAACAGTGTATGGATGTTAGTCCTGCGAATGGACTGGTTTCCCAGTGCACATAAAAGTTCCGTGGGTATTATACTCTAGTCTGTTAATGCAGTACTCATGCAATAGCATTAAGTCTTTTAGAACGTACACACCCTTGCTGAAGAACACTTCATTGCTAAAAAATGCTACCCATCATCTGAGCTCTCAGCGAGTTGTAGTCCTTTTGCTGGAAGAGGGTCGCACTGCGATGTCCATGGCCACTGACGGATCAAGGTGGTGGCTGCTGATGGCTGGGGCAGCTGTGGCAGGTTCCTAAAGTAAGACAATGATTTGCCCATTGACTGACTTCCTTTCTCAATTTCTCTGTCGCACGTGATGCTGTTTGATGGCATTTCACCCGCAGGAGAACTTCCTGCCGCCGCTTTAGTGCCTAAACGAACATCATATCCTAGACCCTCTGGTGTCTCTTCAACGGTCTTCACGGCATCGTCACCAGGACTAGATTCTGACTCGGGAAACCACTTTCTTTGCTCGGCCCCAGGACACGACGCCTCCTCCCTCAGATCTGATCACAAGATTGCTGCGATTCAGTCCCATCTGCAGGATCCACTTGGAATTCCAGTTCTCCTGCTGTTTGCAGCCCCTCTGTAGTGACGTCCTCCATGGAAGGCCTGAAACTTCGATTTGTTTAAAAAAAAAAAAAAAAAGAAAGAAAGAAAGAAAGAAAAGAGAACATCTGCAAAGCAAGATAAAGGGGCATGTGCTGTGCTGATCCTCCGGCCCCGCAGGAGCCCTGACGCTGCTGCTGAACACAGCCCTGCTGTAGTGTCGTTCGGAAACACGATCTTTGTTCGGATGCCATGAGGTTAAAGCAGGAAGGAGAGTGTTCTTCGTGCTGGGGCACCGGGTATGTGCTGTCCTACACGTGGCTCGTGGGGAAGCTGTGTGGGCCTGACCCAGCCACCACCCTGGGAAGTGCCTTCCCTCGACAGAAGCACTTTTTGCCACAAGTGAAAGAGTATCAATCAGCTCGGCTCCTGAGAAAACGGCTCCGATTGCCATGGAAGGCACGGCCCCACGGGATTGCAATTATCCAGGAACAAAATAAGCAGACCTCCTAATGTCTGCAAAGTTATCATTTCCTCTTTATAGTCCCTCTATTTTTTTACCTTATTTATTTTTAGAAAGAACGCCACCTTCTGAGAATGACTGGGGATGCTGACTGCCCACATGCGCGGAGCGGGCCGTCTCCATCCGCCCTATGCCAGGCTTATCACCTCCCGAGTTCTGCACAAAGTGGGGGTGTGGCTACGCACCCCGCACTGCACTGGCCTTCCGAGCTGGAGGGAGCGGCTGTCTCTGGGTCTGGGGAGGCTATTTCTTCTGTGTAAATGGGGCTGTGGCAGGGCAGCGGTGATGGGGGGTGTGCAGGGCAGAGGTGGGGTGGGGTGTGTAGGGCAGCGGTGGGGTGGGGAGGCGCGCAGGGCCAGCGGGGCCGCCCGGTGCCCAAGGAGGCTTCGTGAGGCCTGCACGTTCTCAGGAGTGGTCAGATTCTCACAAACCCTGAACCCACAGAGGTCGTCCTGGTGGGACGAGACGGTCGGGAGACCACCCTGCCGACTGCAGGGACAATCTGATGCAAAGAAGAGCAACGGCCTTTTCACTTTTCTTGTCAATCCTTTCACATCTGTAATTTGTAGCAACTTTGTTGACATTCACACGTGACTTGTAAAACTTGACACGCAATTTAAACTGGATCCGTGTATATGCTCCCCGATAAGGCACCCGCAGAATGAACCCGATTAGACAGCAGGTGGGGGTGCGGCTGACAAGACCTTGATGGCGGGCATGTGTCATGCCGGGAAGCAGGGTCCCAGCAGGGCCCCGAGGCCCACTACAGGCAGCCGGCCGCTATGACCTCAGTCCCGCAGAGCAGGGGTGTCAAGATCTGTGACCATCCACATAGAGCTTACACGGGGTTGAAGGGACAGGTGACGAAAGAACCAGATGCGCAAGGACATGGGGAGTGAGGAAGTGGGGGCGGCCGTGCACACCATGACCTCAGGGGCCGCTGTCTGTTCGTGCATCGGCGTTCACAAACCCGCCCAAAAATGCCTCGCCCCCACACCTGCGTGTCCCCACTATACTCTGTCCTCCCATCGGGAGGGCAAGATTCACGTCCAGATATTTAGGAAGAAAGGAAGTCCCTGTTTAATGTACTGTAGCCTCCTGTGAGTTAGCAGCTCAAAAAGAGTTCTGAAGAACCACCCACGCAGCAGGACCATGTGCGCAGGGAGCAGACAGCACTCAGGGCTGAGCTCACTGGGAAACTCAGTGCTGACGTGGCTCCCCACGTGGTCACCTGAGCCCGTAGCCTCGAGCGGCGAGCACGCAGTCCTCTTCCTCTTCCCGAGTGCGGTCGGCGCCTGCCTTTCGCAGGCTGTAGGGCTGCTGCCTGGCCACCTGGCCCTCCAACCCCAGGGCCCGGCACGGGGCTGGCCTGAGGCAGAAGCACCAGGGACACTTGTGCAATAAACACACACACCAAAGTGAATAAAGAAGAAGGTCCTGGGGGCGCCTGGGTGGCTCAGAGGGTTAAAGCCTCTGCCTTCGGCTCAGGTCATGATCCCAGGGTCCTGGGATCGAGCCCCGCATCGGGCTCTCTCCTTGGTGGGGAGCCTGCTTCCTCCTCTCTCTCTCTCTGTCTGCCTCTCTGCCTACTTGTGATCTCTCTCTGTCGAATGAATAAATAAAATCTAAAAAAAACAGAAGAAGGTCCTAGAGACCACGGCCTAGAAAGTACCCCGCAACCCAGGTCCAGTCCAGGGCACACCCAGCAGCCAGCCCCGAGCCCCTCCACCTGGCTCAAGAGGCCACCCAGCTTGTCTCCCCAAGATCACCCTTCCTTCCTCTCTGCCAGCTGACTCCAGAACTCTGTGTGCCCATGTGACTCTCAACTACAGCCCACCTGGTGCCTGATGGGCAGGATGAGGGGCTTGTCCGAGGCCGGTGGCATTTGGGAGAAGCCTCCCATGGCCTTCCTAACCGCCCAACACCCTAACCATCCGCCCCCTGTCACCCTGCTCCCCCCAGACACAGGACGTGTGTTGGTCGGCTGAGTATTTCTGAAGCACCACAAGCAGCTTGATTCCCACCCAACAGCGGTTCCCATGTGTGCTGTGTTCCCGTTCCCGGCCACTGTGCAGAGCCCCGGGGACACACGGGTGTGGGGCATCTGGGGCCCAGTGGCAACGAGTGTGTGTTCTGATCAGCCTAGTTAAATACGCTCTGAAGGAGGCCGGGGCCAGAGGTTGGGGTTACAGCTGTTCTCATGTCTGGACCACTGTGCTCCAATGTAAAGGGGGAGCAGGGCTCAGTGGCAGCGAGGGGCCTTGTCCGGGACACCTCCTGACCTGGACAGCCAAGGCTAGAGGGTCATTTCGAGGGAAACAACTGGCTGAACCTGCCACGGGGCCGGCGCAGGGAAGGGAAGCGAATGGCAAGCCCACACTGACCTCGGCCGGGATGCTGGCGACGGCAGGCGCGATCCCGTTCTCCGTGCTGACGTTCCCGGAGCTGTTGTTGGGGGAGCTGGGCGCAGAGCCGGGGGCACTGCTGCACGCCGAGTCTGTGGGGTGGAAAGACACGTGTGAGCTATTCTCTGTGCCAGGGTCCCAGGCCACGCAGCGGTCCCCCACGGCCAGCTTGCTGACGGGCACAAACCACATCGGGAAAGAACATGACCACAGTCCCCAAACAGGGGCTGCGAGGCGGATTCCCTACTTTTGGTTTTGCTACGGACTCCCTCGTGGGCTCTACACGGACGGCTCTGTGGGGGCCACATCTGAGCCTTTAGGTTGTGCACGTTACCAATTGTCTTCCTCTTGAATTTCAAGATGATCTGACACACCGGGAAGATAAGGCCTTAAATGTCAATAACCAAACCACAAAAGACCAGGAAACACAGACGCCGCATGACTGTGAGTAGGGATGGTCAGGTGTGCTCTGCTTATCAACACAGCCACCGGCCACAGGACTCCCTCTGAATTAAAGCCTCTCATTTTTCCTGCGTGACATCAGACACCCAGGGGGACATGCTGCTAGCTTCGGGGACTGATCGGTGTCTCCCAGAGTCACACGCAAAGTGATCCTCCAAGTTACTTCACAGGGAGCCGTGGCCCAGCCCTGCGGATCTGGACCAGTCTCCACGGCAACAGGCCGCGTCTTGGGGACGCATCCCACCCCCATCTCCTTTTCCCTGCCAGTGCAGCTACGGTGGTGACACTCAATGTTTATGGATGGACCTGTTCAGCTTTTTCCGTGTTCTCCTTTGGTTTCATGGCCCGTTGACAATGGCCTCAGCACAGACAGAGAGCTCTGCGGTCCCCGGTCCTCTTGACCAGGCCGCTGTGAGTGCAAGACTGCCAGCCAGGCCACCGGCCATCCCAGATGCTGACGATGAGCTCAGACCAGAAACCCCACCCCCTAACCCCCCCCACCCCAACACACCAAACCCAGAGTTTACTTCTCTATTGGGGGAAATCACTTTTGCTTATACTTCACTAACTGGGAACTGCTGAGAAGGCCCCTGGCTTTCTGCACAAAGACAGAGCTGCGGCCTCCGGGGCCGCCACCTTGCCCTTGAGTGCAATCCCTGTGGCCCTCGTGGGACAGCTTCTCTGCGATCCTAGCCCAAGCTCCACGCCGGGTTCCCCCAGGACTCTCTGCAAACGTGCACCCCCCAGTGGGGTCACCTGGTAACTGTTCTTACGTAGCAAGGGTGTGAGAAACTGGGCCAAGAAAACATATATACCCAGCTCTTCACTCACTTTCCACTCAGTTATGCCGCTTCTAGGAATGTCGTCTGGGAAATTAACACAAATGTGTCATCGTCACAAAGTTATCCGCACCTGCCCAAGTGGGGCCCCATTCAAGGTGCCAAAAGTGCTTGTGATGAATCCGTGTCCCACCGTGAGCTCTAACCATTTGGATGCGTATGTGCATGGGCAGCTCACTATTACCTCTGTTCCCAAAGCACGCGTGGGCTTCGTTAGCAACTGGGGTAAAAGCAGCTATGAACCTGCCTGGTCCTGGGCCCCGCTGGGCCCCCAGCCCGCCCCCCATCCCTCTGCAGACACGCACTCCCCTGCTCTCCCGCAGGAGACTGTGCTCCCCAGGGCTGCAGATGGGGGTTCCCTTGCTCGATCAGGACCACCTCCCTTAGCTTCTTACTTCCTGTCTCCTGGAAAGGCATTTCTGCATTTTGCCCCTGGAAGCCTGTCTCCTCTTGTCCCTGTGCCAGCTGCACTCACCCCCCACGCATTCCCCAGGCTCTCCTTGCCCCAGACCCCTTCACATGCATCCTGGACGTGCCCTGACCCAGTACCAGGCAGCTGGGGCGGGTGCAGTTCGCTAGAGGGGCCACCCGTGATGGGTGGGCCTCTCCAATGAGATGATAAGCTCCGGGAAGGCGAGGGCCTGCATCGCTCTGTGCACACGCAGCCTGGTGCTGACTCACCGTGGCATTCAACAGCCCCAGGCGGACAACGTGAACACGCGAAGAAGCCTGCTGACGGTTCCGTCTCACCCACTGCAGGACTAGAATACATGCGTGGCCCTTCTGCCCATGGGAGCCGCCGGCCCACTGCCAGGCACGCCTCAAAGGAGACAACGCTGCATCTGCGTTTGGACATGGGCTTTCACTCCCGACTTCACATGGAATCCCCCAGGGGCTGAGACTCTGGGTGATGGTCCCTCCTCTCTTCAGGCGAGGCCCTGAACCCCCAGCACTGAACATTAGTAACAAAGTGAGGAGCGTCGACCCTTTCAGACGAACACTCAGAGGCCAGAGCTTAGATGAGGGGGTTTTCTGCTGCTACGGGGGTTTTCCACTGCTACAGAGCCCTCAACACAGTGGGATGGGGCGGGGAGCGGAGCTCTCCCCCTTACTCAGAGGCCCCGGGCTCGGTCGGTGCGTGCGTGGTGCTGGCCACAGACACACAGACGACCAGCACTGGGGAGCCCTATCCTCCTTCTCTAAGAACCCAACACATACAGACTGCCACCAGGAGCCTCGGGTTTCAAACATGGTACCTGAACTTAATGCAAACAGTGCCTTTGCCTTCCCCCCTTTATCCTGGTGCTGGTGTGTGCCCTCAGGACGCGGGATGTACCCCGGGGGCTGGGGTATGTCCTCAGGACGAGAGAACCCACAGGAAATGGAGTGTGTCCTCAGAGTGGGGGTGCCCCGAGATGGGGCGTATCCTCATGGAGTGGCTGTACCCCGGAGACTCATATGCCCCAGCAGGTGGGATGCACCCTTGTGGTGGTGTGCGTCTTGGGAAGTGGGGAGCATCCTCAGGAAGAAGGGCATCCCTGAAGACTGGGCTCTGGCTGGGGGTGTACTACCGCATGTCTACCACTAGATGGGGGCCAAGAGCAATGCTCGCTAAGGAAGTGGGGACCACCGCGCTCCCTCCTTCATTCCCTTCCCACCTGTGGGACTCTTGCCAGGAAGATTTCAATGCTCCCCAGTGGTCTGGACACTGTAACGGGCAGTGGAGCAGATCAGAACCATGTGATTTACCGCTAATAGGACAGATCAGTGAAACCTTCAGAGAACCCTCAACTACAACCCGGGTGTTCTGGTGGCCTGGTGCTCTTGGAGGCTGGGGCTGCGATTAGACAGGAGGTGCCCTGTGTGCCCAGACACCAGTGGCGGCTCTTGGGCTCACACTGTAGGCACCGGGGGCTGAGAGCGCCGTGCAGAGGTGTGGGTGTGGGGGGGTGGGGTACAGGAGAGCCCCGTGGGGCAGGGGTGGGCTAGCAGTGGGCGTACCCGTGACATCCAGTGGGCGCTTCTTCAGAGCTGTAACCACTGGCCCGTCTTTTCTGCGCAGCAGGGGGCTGCTCCGTCGCTCTGCCACCTTCTGCTTTAGCCTGGACCGTAATTTCAAATTGGGTTCAGAAGCTGCATGAAAAGGAGACACCGTTATAATCAGACGGTCATGGCTGTGGTCAAGTTTCTCTCACTGGCAGTTAAAAAATACGCACGTTGGGTAAATATTGAGACAACACGGATGTGCGGGTCCAGGGTAAAGGGAAGGCAGCGTTCCTGAGGCCTGTGCGGAATATCTCCAGTCCCACCCACAGTCCAGGTAATGAGCAAAGCCTGTCTGAGGCTTCCTGCTGTGTTTCTGTGGCCCCGTGGGTCGTTGAAGGGCGGTGACCCACCCGCTCTGTGTTACACTTCCTTGTTCACCTGCCTGTCAGAAATTCCTCCTGCAGCCAACAACCCGGAAACAAGCCACTGCCTGTGAGCAGTTGTCCTGGGGCCCTAGGGCCAACCAGTCCACACCTGTATGGGGGTGAGCAAGCCCCTGTCTCCCTGAGAGGCCACCTGAACAGGACATGGGCATTTCAGCTTGGTTCGGTCTGTCACCAGCTCTGCGTGTACTTTGCAAACCTGTGTATTTAAGCGCAGGAGTTCCCATGCCCCTGCACCTGGAGAGCAGACCACCCCCCGACCAACCAGGTCACAGCTCCGGGAAGCAGGGCAGGGGCACGCCCCTGTGAGGCTGCTCTGGGAGGAGGGTGCCCCCCCCCACCCCCATGTGGATGCCCGTGCAGGAGTCTCCATGAGGCCTCAGAGCCAGGCCAGGGGTGAGACCACCACTGCAAAGACATTCGTTCAAGTTCTGAGGTTTTACCTGACAACTTCCAAGTTCCTACTGCCTCTCTGTTTGCAAATAAGCAAGGTTTTACCTTTTTGTTTGTTTTTAATCAGCAACCCTGCTGTTTTTAATCTTTCTGGAACAGGAAGTTCACGCTCTCCAGAGCACAAGCAATATAATCGAATTTTCCCCTGGAATCAGAACTAAGACAGCCTGGGTTTGAGGCAGCAGGCCGAGCACGGGGACCTGGTCCTTTGGGAAGCAGGGTAGCAGTGTGCCAGGCCTAAGTGCTGGGGTGCCAGTGACCCGGCCGGAGGCTGGGAGGCAAAGGGCAGCTCTCTGGGGGCCCTGGGAGGGGAAGGGGGTAGCAGGCCACCAAATGAAGCTTCCCGGAGCAATCGAAGACACACTTTATGAGGCCACCAGACCTCTGACGATGCCACCCAGGTTCTGGTGGGCACATGGGGAGAGGCACCCTTTCTGCTCTGTGCTTGTGTAGGGTGAGTGCCCGTTCCCCTGTCGGACTGCATGGCCAAGAGTGGGAAGGATGTGTATGAAGATTATGGAAACTATTCTTTCCTTATTTATTTTGAGATGACTGTAGATTTACATGTTTCATTCACTTCTATTTTTACATGGAGTTTCTTACCATTACTTAACACAAGGAAAAAACCCAAACCTCATCTAATAGGCAAGAAAGCAACAGTTCTCCTCATACCACCAAGGTCTGTACTGAAAGGACACGGACACCCTTTTGTCCAAGCTGGGGTCGGAAGCTGCTCCCAAGATCACGGGGCAGCATGGGTCCCTGGGGAGGGAGTGTGTCCGGAGACAGCGTAGGGGTGGCCCCTGGTGACAGGGTCGCACAGGGCCAGCTGCAGAACAGTCCTGCTCCTGGGTCTGGCACCCGACCTCCCCCAGGCCCTGCAGGTCACTCTACATTCAACATACCTGGTTGAGTGACAGCTCTGGCCAAGTCAGCGGTCGGGCAGCCACATCTGTCCAGGGACCCCGGAATCCTGCTGGAGTGACTCACAGACTGCACTGGGCAGGCCCCAAGCCCCTTCCCACCTCTCACAGCTGCTGTCACTTGTCTGTAGGCCCTCGCCCTCTCCCAACGATAGCTGCATGGCTCTGCTGTCCTCACAGCAGCATGGGCACCTCATGAAACGACTCTGCTCATCTGGCTTTTTCCGGGTCTCCCCTGGACCTCCTGCACTTGAACATGAAAGTCCGGGAGACCTGAAGGATCTGTTCAGCCTCCCCAATTCCAGGTGAGCCCAGCGACACTCGCTTTGCAAAGACAGACCCGACCCAGGACTCACCACCCCTCCCAGCATCGGCCCCTCTCTGGGCCACCCCTGACGTGCAGTGCCTGGTACAAAGCAGGAACAAGGGACACGTGCTCCAGATGTTGGGCATCTCGTTCAGGATGAAAGCAGAGCATTAAACTAAGCGGGGTGGGCCCTTCCCCAGTCCTCTGGGGTTCTCCAGGACCGTCTCTCCAGAGCCTCTGGGTGCAGGGCCAGGGCCTGGGAGGGAAGGGAGGCAGTCACTTCCTCGTCTCTGTGGCACAGCGAAGGCCCAACTCCCCCTCCTTTCTCTGCAGAAGGCACGTTCCTAGGAGCCGCGGGTACAGGGGTCGAGCAAGCTGAGTTGAGTTCTACAGGCCCCACAGAGAAGACACTGGGGCCTGCGGTCCAGCTGTTCATCCACATAGTTCTCGAAACTTCCAAATGCCTGCCACCCAAACGCCTCTGAGTGGCAGCCGAAGCCTAGAACACAGGCAGCTGCGGCCCCCAACAGATGGGCAGAGCTGCAAGACCGCACCTACCACGTGGAGGCCTGTGCCATGCCACCCCCACGGGCTCCTCCGGGCAGCTCCCAACTGCATCTGAGGTCCTCAAAGCTCACGCAGCTCCCAGCGCAGCCGGAGGATTAAGTACAAAACCGTATTTCCTTCCTTTGAATAGGGCTGCAGGCAGACTGAGAGCCAAGTGTGAGCAAGAGGCATTCTGGAAAAGTGGCTCCCAGCAGCTGAGTGCTACTGAAATGGAAGGGGGTGCACTGTGTTCACGAGCGCGGAGTCTGCTCCTCCTGGGCAATGTGGGCATGCTGGGGAAGTTTCTCCTCAAAGGCCATGAGGTACGTGACAGACCAAGTTCAACCTTCAAATCCTGCCCCGGCCCCAGCACCTGTCCCTCACTGGGCAGGAGGTGCCTGTGGTGAGGTGAGGGCTGCTCTCCACGAACCCTCACATCTACAGCAATCTCACGCAGGTCCAGCTTTCCCGAGGGCTGGTCACAGCACAGCGGCCATCAGAGTGGGAACACGGGTAACGGTCCGGCGGGCAAAGGGACCTAGATGCCTGTGGCATGTACCCACAGATCACATTGTCTGGAAGCAGGGGCTGCTCTGGGGGTGGGGTGAGCAGGCAAGGGTGTGCAGAGCACCATCTCGGCTGGGCACATGGGCAGAGCCAATATCCGAGCCGTCCTTCCGAGACCCACAAAATGGCAGCGTGGGAGGCAATGCGGGAGAAGCCACAGGACAGACGTGTGGGTATGGGAAGAAGACAGTGGGAGGAAAAGGGGAGTAAAAAAGTCCAAGATCACATTAATAACAATGCCAGGAGAGGTCAGGGCAGAGCAGGGAGGTCACTAACCCAGTGACTGGAGACACCCTCCTCCCTCTGCAGGAGGCCTGGTGCCTGGCTGGGGGCAGGGGTGAGCGCTCCCCGCGGCCTCTTGCTAGGCAGACCCTGTAGAGTTCTGGAGCTCTGGGGGCCAGGCAGGAATTGGTCTTGTCAGTGCTGTTGGATTCTGCAATAGCCACTTGGAGGCAAGACAGAGACTCAAAAATCCTGTGGGAAAGTGATTTCTGTGCCCAACCACGTTATCGGTCAGATGGGGGCCAAAACGGACATCTGCCAGTATGCACGGACCTGCGTTCACAGCCCGTTCAGGTTCTCAGAAAGCTGTTGTGCCCATGCAAGGTGAGGGAGGGGGCCGTGCAGGAGTCCAGGGGAAGGGGCGGAGCCTCCCCAGAGGGTGCAGGGGTGGGGTGGGGGGGACCAGCAGGTGGGGCAAGGGGTGGGGGCCTTGTGGCTGGGAGCCTGTCTCCTAGGCCAGAGAGAGGTCTCTGGGCCACCTGCCATGCGGGGGCTCCTTCAGGTGAATTAACGACAGGAATGCAGAACACTAAGCAATAGAAAAACCATGATCAACTTCAGGAAAAGGGCAAGTTAGGCAAACAAGGAAACGCAGGCATAGTCACTCTGCATAGGTGTGTACTTTCTGTACGTCCCCTGTCAAGAGGCACGGAGGGGCAGGTCCTGAGCCCCTGTGGGGCCATCCCCTGTCCTGAGCCTCATGGGGTTCTCTGATTTATGTGTACTCATTTTCTTTGAAAACAATTAAGAAGTACTCTGGAAAGCCAAATGACAGAATAGAATGTGACTTTCGTAGCACACGTGTCAGACGGAAGACGGATGGTAACCTTTCAGGAGTTCCTACAAAGCCACACACTAGAAAGAAAGCACCCCAAAGAAAGCACGAGGGACTTGCCATTAAACTTCCATCCACTGAACAATGAGGGACCTGCCTGTGCGTCCTGTGTGGTTCTAGATGCCACACACGGGGGCGGACAAGCCCAGGCCTGGCAGGCACTCTGAGCTCCACACAGCTTGCCCGCCACGCGTCCCAGGGCTTGGGTCACAGCCACCCGGGTCCCTGCTATGAAGGGAGGACGTTCTCACAGGAAAGATGGGAAATAAAGACACTTGAGCTTGTCTAACAATGACGGGATTGCTGAAAACATCCCAGGAAGCACGACTGGCTCATCTGTCGCCTGGGCTAGGCTGATCGTGGTGGCACTTAATGACGTGGACAGAGCAGGCTCCCCGGAGCTCTGCTATGGCGTGACGTGCTCAGTGTCTCAGAGCTCGCAAACCCCTGAAGCTGGCCGTCCCATTAGCGGGGATCGATCATCCGGAAATTCACAGGGATCTATCCTAGCACAAGAGGGCAGAGGTAGAGTTACGCTAGAAGAGTTAGAAATTTATATGCACAGACCAGACCATGTAGAAAGAGGTGCTGATCCTCACATACTCAGATGGAAACATAGACTCAATGTAACAGCAACTGAAAAATACAGTCACAGGACAGAACGCAAAGCAAGTATTCTTGTTAACATAAAGACAACCAGACACGCTCGCTACCCCTGATACACAGTCCGGCGCGGATGCGCAGAAGATATCCAGACAGATACCAAACTAACCAAAGCAGCTTGTCTCTGG